CTACCAAAATGGGTTCTGAATCCACATACAAAGATGACATTGGGTGTAGTCTTGTACATTTTGACAAGTTTTTTCTGAATTTCTGTCTTAGGTACTGTTGCCTTTCCAGGGTTAAGAACATCCATGACCATCTGCTTCCTCTGAAGTAGTCGGTTGGTTATGAATTTCCTGGTCTGGATACTTACTATGTCATTCATGATGGCGGCAGACCTTCAGACAGCTAGGGAGGAAAAGAACCTGTTTTTCTTTGATTCAGTCCCTCCCTCCCACCCGCCCGCCCGCCTTCCTTCCTTCCTTCCTTCCTTCCTTCCTTCCTTTCTTCCTTCCTTCCTTCCTTCCTTCCTTTCCACGTTCCTTCATCATAGGAATCAAACCCACAGCCTTGTGCTTGCTAGGCAATCACTCACTCTACCACTCAAGCTTTGCTGTCAGCCCTTTTGTTTTCATTTTTTCTTTTGAGATAAGGTCTTGCTTCCTTTTGGTCCTTTTGGTCATGCTAGCCTCAAACTCACAATCCTCCTGCCTCCGTCTCCCAAATGTCTGGAATCACAAGCATGTGTCACCACACCCTGCTTGTTTTCTTACTCTACATTTTCCCCCCTCTCTCCCTGACCTCAATATGTTGTTGACTCAGGGACCAACAGTATTTTATTAAGATGTATGGTCAAGAGATAAATCATCATTCTGTCTCAAAAGTATTTACAGACAAGTTAGTATTAGTGAGCAAACAATAGTGATAGAGCACTGGTTAGACTTGATTCCTGATCTCATACTTCACATTGTTTAAGAGACATTTGTTTGGACAAATGATTTCTCCACCCATAAGAAGGGAGAGAGGGAGAGAGGGAGGGAAGAAAAGAAGAAGAGGGAGAGATGTTGTGCACCCATGTGCACACCCACTGGAAATAGTCCTTCTCATCCAAATGTCAAGTAAGTAAACTTTGACAGCTCTGCCATCAGTCTTGATTGGCATCCAGTTCTGCTGAAATTGGTACTTGATGAAGACATATACGAAAGCTTCCAACACTGGTAAATAGATAACTCCAGGATCCAAATGGCCCTTGTGGGAGGAACATGACATTAGCAAATACCATAGCACTGTATCATAAGTTAGGCTTGCTGCTGGAAAGGATAGGTGCTTGTTGCCCAATGGGTTAGGTAAAGAGAATATCAGATAGATCAAAAGACCAAAGAGCCATTCTTCCCTCCCCCACCAAATTGTCTTTGGCTTTAAGGGTGAAAATGAAGAGATCTGCAAAGTAAAGGGTCTTTTGAACAAATAGTAATACATCTAAGAGTGACATTGGGAGCTAGGGACCTCCACCTTCTCACTCACCCTGGGGAGGGACTCCAGACTCGGCCTTTTAGCAGAATGGCTCATTGTTCACCTCCAGAATGAGACAGCCAAGTCTGAAGTCTAGCTCATCCACTTGTGAGATGTCAAGGCAGGTTGCTTCACTTCTGTGTCTCAGACTTCTCATAACAAGTTTAATGGCAGTGTCTGCCCTGCAGCATGGCTGTAGAAGTAAAGCCTGTAAATCACCCAGTGTCAGCAATACAATATAAAGTAAGAGCCAGGGTGATGACGGTAAAGATGAGGGTGGCCAGTCATGTGACTGGAACTGGAGAGGTCTGACAATGGAGTAGCAGGCAGAAGGCTGTGTGTGCGTGTGCGTGTGTGTGTGTGCGCACGTGCGCACACACACACGCGCGCGCTTTCTGGGTGAGGCTCAGAGAGACAGCCAGATAAGAAAGGCAAATTCTCTGAGAAGTGTAGGGGATTAGGGTTGAGGTGGCCACCAAATGAGTCCAAGGGTGGCCATTGGTCTGTCTAGGAAAGCTGCATTTCTTGAGCAGGAGGTAAACACAAGTAAGAATTCCAGGGAATCTTTGATCTGATTTGCTTCTTTATCTAAAAAGTCATTCCACACAAAGGAGGCTCTTGGTCTTCACGGCCCAAAGGAGGGAGGTGTTTGGTTTTCCCAGTGTATCAGCTGCTGGCTCAGCTCCATCCTTTCTGTACAGGGAAGCAGGCAAAGTGGGTGGGGGGGGGGTCCTCCCCTAAGGAGACAGGGCCCTGGCTATCCTGCAGTGCCACCCTTGTCAGACAGTTTTCCATTGTATAATCCAATGAAAGAACGATCACCACAAGCTGACAAGGCTTTGGATTATCACCCGTGTCCAATGTAAGTCACCTTGCTTAAAAATCACTCAGCTCTAGATTACTTTGTGTATGGTGCTAGAATCGAACCCAGGGCCCGATGTGCACAAGACAAGTGCTGTACTGCTGAGCTATATCCCTAGCCTCCTTCAATAAGCATTCCAGTTCATTTTATTCAAACTTGTATTAGCCATCTACCAAAGTAGACATGAACTCAGAGCGGTTGCCATCTGCAGAGTGGACCCAGTGCCTCAGGTCATGCTGCTCAGAGGAGGTGCATTTGATGATGACTTATCGGACAAAAGTTCACCAGGGGGCTGGGAAAGTGGCTCAGCCGTAGAGTGCTTGCCTCACATGCATGAAGTCCTGGGTTCAATTCCTCAGCACCACATAAACAGAAAGGTTGGAAGTGGCACTGTGGCTCAAGTGGTAGAGTGCTAGCCTTGAGCTGAAGAGCTGAGGGACAGCGCCCAAGCCCAGAGTCAAAGCCCCACAACCAACAACAACAACAAAGTTCAACAGATGAGAAGAGGTATTTTGGACATAGGTAGCAAGTATAATATTCAGGATCACAAGGCCTATCAGAGGAGTTGAACAGGGAACATGGGGGAAGTAAGTCTCCAGATCTGTTGTATGAGGAAGCTATGTCTGAGAACAGTAAGTGGGATGGATTTGAAAAGGCAAAAGGCTGGGCATCAGAAGCAGGAAGAAAAAATGAACCCTTAAAGTAATAGCAACAACGTCAGAGAGGCTCCTACGGGGTCTGAGAGATCCTGAAAAGACCTACCACTTGGATATGTTAAGTCAGTTAGAGCATGTATGAGGAGAAAGGAAGGAAGACCTGACATTTCCAACTGCACACAGTTTACTCTCCTGGAGCTAGTATCAGAAGACCAAAGACAGAGGGTTCCCTGCTAACCTCACACATAGCAAGTCGGGATCTGTGAGAGTTCTCAGTGAGTATTCAGGTAGAAATGGGAGACAGGCACATGTGTACATGGGCGCAATATTGTGTCCTCTCTGGCAGTATAAGCTTTGTAGTCGGAGCTGAGGTAAAATCCCAACTACTTCATTTAGACTTTGGTCGTGGGGATATTATTTAACTTTTTTGGATCTTTTATTTCTTATTTGAATTTCAAGTCCATTTTGTCTGATATTAATATTTTTAGTTCTGACCTTTTTGTTTTCATTTGCCTATGGCTGTTTGCTTCATGTGCGTGTGTGTGCGCGTGTGTGCACGCAAGCTTGTGCACATACATGTATGTATGTGTGCACGTGTTGCTGAGGATCAACCCCAGGGTCCTTACATGCTAAGCAAATACTCTATCATTCAACAATGCCCTCAGCACTTTGGTTTCTGTTTTTGTTTTATTGTTGCTATTGTTTTTCAGGTTTTTGTTTTTTGTAAACAGCATAGGTAGGTGTTTTGGGTTTTGCCCAGTCAAAAAAAATATGGTATTTTTGTATTATTTTAGGTTTGGTTTTGAGGTGGGATCTTACTACAGGAAAAGCTATGTATAGCTCAGGCTGTCTCTTGATCCTCTCGCTTCCACGTCCAGGTTGGGCTTATAGACATGCTCCGTCATGCCTGGCTAAATCTGACTTAATAAACTTGAGTTTTTTCCTTCCAATTTATTTTAACTTCCTAGCCCCTTTTTTCCTCCTTTTAAGGGAATAGGCAGTATTGGTGGTGTGGAAATAGAGGCTAGTATGGTACAAATAAATACTATTCTTTCCACAGTTCTCCTTACTCATCTTGAAATTGTACTGTGTTTGTACATTCTATTAGCGATTACCACTTCATTCTTTTTTCTTGGCCATTAGATAAAATGTATCAGTATTTCCTATATGAATTCTCTTAAGATAAGTCCTGTAAAATATTGTACTTCTCTGTGTTTTCATTTTTCCCTTCCTAGAAATAATGACCTAAATTGAGTAATAGTTTATTTGTTTTAAGAATTATCATTAGCACTTAGTTAATGTATTTCAAGTAACCTGAAAAGTGGCATTTATTTGAATATAAATAATCTCATTATGTGTTGAGGTAAAGCATAAAAGGTAAATTTTCTTTCTTTTTTGTCTTTCTTCCCCACCCCCTCCTTTCTCCTTCTCCTCCTCTTTTCCTTCTCCCCGTCCCTTCCTTCTTCCTTCCCTCTCTCCCTCCTTCCTTATACCCCTCTCTCCTTTACAGTGTTTGGAATCTATCCCAGGACCTTAGATATACTTCAGAGCAACCACCCTACCTCTGAGTTATATCTCTAGCTTGAGCTGGCTTTGAACTACAATTCTCAGATCTTAGCCTCCTGAGTAGCTAAGATTATAGATGTGTGCCACCAGCACCCAGCTTTCCTTGGCTTTTGATAAGGTTTGGTACTGTGGGCTCCTCTTGGTCCTCACAGGCTAAGCTGACTGCGTTAGGCCATGAGGCACTTGGCAAGTCATTCATCCACTATTTTCCCCGACTTCTTTGAAAGAGCCAGTGCTGTATTGAAAGAAGTGTAGTCAGCACTGCAGTATATTGTTCTTTTTACAGATAGACAGATGGTACCATTGATTATGAGGACACATCTTATCAATATTAGATTTGAGACCAGAACATGTATGCCAAACTAGAAAATCCTATGAGTTCCCAAAGGGAAGGATTCAATGCATCTTCTTCCACCTCATTATTAGCATATGAAATTATCCTAAAAATTAATAGCACTCTATTGCCTTCCTCCTGGGCTTAGTCAGTACAAAACCTTAAAATTCATATTTACTATATACTATATACGACCAGCCCTGACTATTCAAGTTTTAAACTCCAGTGTGTTGCATTCTTTTCTACCTTCCCATAAAGCCGCACGAGAAATCCTCTGGCTAGAGAAGGAGGAGCGGGCCAGGCAGTACTATGAAAAACACCTGGAGGAGCGGAAGAGGAGGCTGGAGGAACAGAGGCTGAAGGAGGAGCGGCGGAGGGCGGCGGTAGAGGAAAAGCGAAGGCAGAGGCTAGAAGAGGACAAGGTAAGAAGGAAGCTCCTCTGTTCCCCATCACGAGCACTTCTAGGGGATGTTGTGATGGATTCCAGGAGGCCATGGTCTCAGCTACCCCCAGATACGAGGGAATCTGGATGTGAGGTGGGTGGAGGATGGGCTGCCCAGTACTGCCACAGAGCTTCACATACACGTTTCTCTGCTCTAAACCTATAACTGATTAGTGTTCCGTTCACCTGTGCTGAGCATTAAGTCCCCTAAGGCCAACTATAGGTCCTTCCATTCATAAACATTTTCACAAATATGCCTTATTTAACACTTCCTCAGAAAGTAGTAAGCATTTTCTTTTTATAGTTCTCCTTACTAATCTTGAAGTTCTATTGTACTGTTCTTGTACACTCTATTAGTGATTAGCACTTCATTCTCATTTTTCTAGGCCAATAAATAAAACAAATTAGTATTAGTACTTCCTCAAGAAGTGTTCAATATTTCCTTAAGGTAGCCAGGCACTCACTGGTGGCTCACACCTGTAATCCTAGCTACTCAATAGGATGAGATCTGAAGATCAAGGTTTGAAGCCATCTGGAACAGGAAAGTCTGTGTGACTTACCACCAGAAGTGGAGCTGTGGCTCAGAGTAGTAGAGCACGAGCCTTGAACAGAAAAGCTCAAGGACAACCCCTAGGCCCTGAGTTCAAGCCCTACTACCAACAAAAGAACAAAAACTTCCTTAAGGAAATATCAATTTTTGCATATGGAAATTTAGACCAAAGTCATACAAAGACATACAAATCTTTAAGGCAGGGATCAAGAACTACACATCCTCAAATCGTGAATTCCGGAGGGGGGACCAAGATGGCGGCAGGGCAGTAGGGAAACGCCACAGCTCTCTCCAAACAAAAAGAGAGTTCGAGTTCCAACGCTTAATCTCCCCAAGAGACCGACAACAACAAAAAGATGAACACTCAGAGAAAAACCAGAGGTGGAAAATAACAAAAAAAGAAAGAGAGGAAAAGAAGAATTTCAGAACAGAGAAGAGCGAAGACCCCTCCCCCAACCTTTACTGGCCGCGCGGCAGTGCGCCAAGCCGCCGGCCAGCCGGCCCGGCGGGGGCTGCCGGAGCCCCCAGAGACACAGGGGGCCACTCGCAGATCTCCAGGTACCGGTTCGCAGAACAGCGGATTGCCAGGAACAGAGAAACCTACCAGCCGGGATTCTCCACGAGGATCCCACCCCACCCCTCACTCTCCATCGGAGCGGAGAGGCTCCATCCCGCTAAAGCCGCCCGGCACCAGCAGCGCGACAAAGGGACCTGTCGGCAGACCACCCGCCAGATCGCAATCGCAACGACCCAGCGGGGGCCGCCCAACCCAGCCCGCAACCACCCCAACTGAACTCGGATTGCAACAACTGACGACCTACACCACACAGAAACAACCAGCTCCAGGGTGAGTACTTAACAGGGGACAGTGCATCTCTCAAGGGAGACAAGAGCTGGAGGGAATCCCCAGACCCTGACCTAGACTCCCTACCCCAACACCCGGACCACAGGACCCACTAAAACTGGGAACTGTTCAAGACCTCCACCAGCCGGTGGAACACACTCTGCAGGCCAGGCCAGAGCAAGAGTGCCCCTGGAAGGGAGCTTAAATGCCCAAGCCAGGAACAGTGCCCCTGGGTCAAGACTACCAACAGTAGAAGAAATTTGAACTGTGTCCCCCAGGCTGCATAACCTAGGTGGTATACACAGCAGCACAGGCCTAATGAGCACGCTCCAGGCTGCATAACTTAGGTGGTATACACAACAGCACAGGCCTAACGAGCACGCTCCAGGCGAGGGCCGGAACCAGGCCCGGGGATCTGGCGCCTGAACAACACAACCAACTCCTCCCAACTGAAGTAAAAAGCTGAGCATACTCCTCAACAGAGGGGAGAAAACCAGGAAACAACACTCCCCAGGAAGCACGCCTGTGACAACAAAAGACCTGGAGGCTCAGGACAAGAGAAGCCCAAACCCCACCAAAACTCCACCCATATACCCTAGGCTGGGAATTAGGCAACACAGGCTGCTAGCACCTGATAATAAGCAGGAGCTCAGGCTGATAAGGCGGCTGAGCAATAGAGTGATAGTCTTGGATGTATGAGGCCCTGGATCTGATTCCTCAGCATCACAAAAGCAAAAAGGGTCAGAAGTGGTGCTGTGGCTCAA